TCAGACAAGGCTCAGCGTTGCCTTTGTGGCTCAGTGTAAAGGGGGCAGACTCTTGAGTCAGCATTCATTCACGTTCCTATTTATCTCTTTGATTTGTTCCACACTATGTCTTTTAAGCCTTGTCTTGACCTTATTTTACCATAGCAACATCTAAATAGATATTTCTTTTCCTGGATCTGGTTGTACAATGCGGCTGACACTGGGAGGAGATTCATTTTGGTTAGAAAGATTGTCAGTCTGTTGGTGTTGTGTTTCTCTGAGATTAGGATGGGATGGTGTGGCAAAGAGAGAAAGAGATGTGTGCATGTGTGTTAATATACCTGCAGCGTGCAAACATATCAAATGATTTCTACAGTAGCCACATGCATTGCAGGCAGATTGGAGTAAGGAATTGATTAATGCCTGATTTCAAAATTAGTGAACTGGATTTATTAATTAATTAATTAATCTACACGTTATATTTCTATAACGTGTAGAAATCACATGTAGAACGTGATTTCTACACGTTATAGGAATATGTCACACAAATTTGGAGCTTTTATGGTTTATTTTATCTTTTTTTTAAATATAACCTTATATATATCAAAAATGAGATGCATACATTTAATTTTTGTATACCCTCAATAATAGGGTATACATTTACTGTAATGGCTAAATGCCCTTTAGAAAGGCACATCTTGACATCATTGGTTCTGTTGCTTGTAAAATTCTTGCTGGATGTTTGACCCCTTTATGAAACTTTTTCCACTGATACAATTAACTTTATTTTCTTAGGTTATCAAGCACATAAGTTAAGCGTACCTACATGTTTGACTGAATGGCATTTGTTTAATTACTTCTCTTCTTTTAGTCATTCAAATAAAGGCAATGTTTATGTCTAAATATTTAATTAGCGTTTGTAGTAAACAAAAGTCCTTTATATGAATCAGAATTACTAAAACAGCATTGAAGAGCTGTCCTACAGTTTTTCTTTAGCTATGTGAAACAATTAGATTTGGAAATGTGTTTCTGTTTCTTGTATTTCTGTTACTAATTTTTACTTCTCTTTTTTTAAAATAAAAAACAATTTCAAATATTTTAAGATAACTGTTCTGTTTTAGTAATTTAAAGCTGTAGGAAATATTGACATTTTTTTATTATTATACTTTCCTGACCTTGTCCATTGCCTGCACTGTAATTTATTTTCCCTTGTACATTTACCTCATATCTGCATGTAGCCATGGTTGTGTAATTTTTTTTTCTCCATAGGTCGGTTCATCCTGTTTCCAACACTGATCCAATTATTAGTGGTTGCTGTAAGGGACGAAGGTGTGCCTGTGGGTGGCATAGTAGTTATTAAGAAGCAGAGGATGGCTTTATAAACAAATCTTCTGCTAATCAGACTAAGTACTTTGAGTGGTTTTGTCGTCGCCGGTTTGTTTTTGTTGTGACGGAAGGAGGGCTGGAGCAGCTGATCAGCAGTTTAGTATGCGACAGGAGGCCCCACAGACATGACAGCAAACTTTTTCAAACTTTTTTCCTGATGTTACCATCAACGTCTTCCTCGGTTATTTTTTATCTACAAAAACTTGATCAGATACTGATTAGAAAGTTCTTATGAATTTGTTGTGCTACAATAAAAGACCAATTTGGTCAATGTTAGGGATCAGGTAATATTTTGACTTTTTGCTTGGAAGGCCTGGAAGCCACCTTACCATTCAATACATATGTATTGTTACAGTTAGCCTTTATCAAATCTTCGACTAAATATCAAGTTACATTTTTGATGTAACAAGCCCTTTAGAAGGTCTTCATATCTCAAATGTTCTGAATGTTTTCTTTCTTTTACTTATAGGGCTACTGATGTGTCATTGATGGGATCCACAGGCTTGACTAATGTGTGATATTTCTTAAAATCTCAATGGAGCTCATCCAGGCCACCCAGGTTTCCCTAGTGCCACAGGAAGGAACCATTGCTGCCTGGAACAACAACTCAGTCCTTCTCTACTACCACTCCTTGTTCTCCACCGTCCCCTACACACCACTCCCCAGCATCAGTCAAGCTGAGGAGTCTTTCCTATTTAACAGTTGTTTAAACTCTACTAAAAGCACACCCACATCCCTCCCTGGGTTGGCAGGAATCTTCATTCCTCTTATTTATGGGATAGTGTGTATAATTGGCTTATTGGGAAACACTCTGGTCATCCACGTCATTGTAAACTACACCAAGAATGAGTCTGTCACAAACATCTACATCCTCAATCTTGCCATCGCAGATGAACTTTTTATGCTAGGTTTGCCCTTTTTGGCAGTACAAAATGCTCTCCTCTCTTGGCCCTTTGGCTCACTGATGTGCCGTGTTGTGATGACAGTGGACGCCTTCAACCAGTTCACCAGCATCTTTTGTCTCACTGTGATGTCAGTGGATCGATACTTGGCTGTCGTCCACCCAATCCGGGCCTCCTGGTGGCGACGCCCCCATGTAGCAAAGGCTATCAGTGCCACAGTTTGGCTGGTGTCCTTTGTAGTGGTGCTGCCAGTGGTGGTCTTCGCCGATGTTCTGAAGGATGATGGGAACTGCAGCATTGTGTGGCCTGAACCAGCCGAAGTGTGGAAAACATCTTTTATTGTGTACACATGCACTGTTGGCTTCTTCTGTCCTTTGCTTGTCATCTCTTTATGCTACCTGCTGATCATCATCAAGGTAGGACCTTTCTCTAAGTTCCTGCACTCCTTCAAATACGCACTTCTTTAGGTCCTTTTGAACTTAGTAACTTATGAAATCAACAATTTCACATGTCTTTTAATGCTTAAATAAATTGAACAAAAACACTGCATAAGTAGACCTAAGATCCTCTACTTCAAAAGAAATTCTAGGGTAAACATTCAGAACACCATTAGATAATTCAAGATTTGACTATTTTCAATGTCGCTGTTTATGTCTGAAATGTAAAATTACGTTTTTGACATAATTTGGGGTACTAAATATTAACTTTCAAAGAATATGTTGGAAGAGACAAAAGAAAGAACGAGCTCCCCAGTCCAAAATTAGGTTGATTGGTCTTTCTAAATATTCTTCATTGCAGATCCACAGTTACATTTTAAATGATTGTCATAAAGAACAACAACTTAGTCAAGAATAAAATTTCTTGATTTTCTTCTCTCTTTCCTTCCAGGTGAGGAATGTTGGGAGGCGGACCCAGACCACGTCCTCCAGACGCAGGAGGTCGGAGCGAAAAATCACACGAATGGTGGTGGTAGTCGTAGCAGTGTTTGTTTTCTGTTGGCTACCGTTCTACGCCCTCAACATCTTAAACCTGCTTGTGGTGCTGCCCGGAGACTTCAGGGGGCTCTACTATTTTGTTGTCGTGCTTTCATATGCAAATAGCTGTGCCAACCCCATATTGTACGGTTTTCTGTCAGACAACTTCAAGAGAGGCTTCAGGAAGGCCTTGTGCCGCGCTTCACGGAAGGTGAAGAACAATGAAAAGGCTGGCACCGAGGTACAGCGGCCGACGGAGGAGTGGGGCGGCATCATTCTCCTGTCACAGAAGAGAATCACCAACATGCATGGAAAATATATTGGTGAAAATGATGTACTGGAGGAAGTGGTTGGAGCAGAGGGAGGCTTGCAAATGAGAGAAAGGAGCAGATTGTCACATAAAGGACAAAACTCCAAAGCAGAAGATGATGGTGAACCCCCTGTTATACAGAAAGCTAATCCTGAACTGACTCCAAGTGATGATGCTCTCGAGGTAGCTCAATGTAAGGACAATAAAAGTCAGAACAGGAACTCACAAATTGAAGAAGTCACAGCCAAAAACTCTGTGCTCGATATCAGCTATCTGTAAGAGTTGATGACAGAGCCTGCCTTTTACAAGAACGGGGTCTCTGTACATTTACGTTGTACAACTCTTTAAAGTTTAGAGACTGTCTGTTTTGATGCAAACGTTTTTATACGTGGCATAACTAACTTTGAGGTGTCAGCCCATCAAAATCTGAGATAGGACCTTCATTTAAATGTGTACAACATGTTGAAAGACCCTCATTTTGGGGAAACTGGTTGCAGTATTTCAGTTATTGCTGCTGGCATTTACTTTTTCCTGACATTTTCAGTATTATGACCAGAAATTCCTGAAGATTAGATTTTTGACAAAAAGGCTCACCAGGCTGATGAAACTCCTCACCTTTATATGGGAAAGGCTTTATTACAGCATGTATTGCTAGTACTTGAAAGGTTATTTTGTCTTTTAAACAAGGAACAACTTGTGCTGAAAGACTTATACACTGTATGAATCATGTTCTCTGTGGTAGATGGCAGATAATGATTGACCTACTGTGAAATGGAACAAAAATGTCGTGTTCAGCTGCTAAATCCTTGAACAATAAGTATTCAAAGTGCGATCATATGACCGTCTTGTCAAACAGCATGCAGATTGAACTGAGCATTGTTAAATATCAGGCATATATTTTCCCTAAAATCAACTAATTGCCATAATTTACGATGAAAGATATGTAGTAAGAGTAAAAAGTGACCTTCTACTATGGTCAAAGTCTGTTTTCCTTCAGGTTGAAATGTTTTACATATTGCAGTAGCATACTTTTAAAGATATGTTTAAATATCCTGTGTGTGATTGTACTCAGATAAAGGAGTTTAAATAATTAAGTGTTGAAACATAATTAAGCTTTTAAAGCTCAATTGATACAGAAATGTTTACTTCATTATAGCCAGGATCAGTTAAGATTATTTCAATGTTATAGTCAATATAGTAGTATTGTATTTTGCAGTGAAATATGTACTTTATGAATTATTTAAAACTTAAAGATCAAACCAAAATTAACATATTGGGTATAAAATATGTACTGGACATTCTGTGTGAATGGTGATAAGATACAGTGTTTTGTGTTGACATTGCACTCAATAAATGGGAATACCTTGTGTTGTAAGCTTTGTCACTTTTAACTACTTTTAAGTTGAGTGGGTCAACATTGAATATAACACATGACAAGGCACTAAATAATTATTTTTAAAAAATTTATTTCACATTTTGGCTCAAGAAGACAGCGATAAATCGTTTCCAAGAGGTCAACGCAGAAACTGTTTCATTTCAGAAACGAAACAGACGCCGCCCTCTAGTGGTAAGAAAGCATAACAGACTGTTTTTTAATTTCACAATGATTCCTTTCATCTATGTTTTCTGCAGTTTGGTAACAGTTGCATTTTCGTTTCTCTTTTACGTTCACCCATCCATCTATTTCTACTCGGGCACAACATCTCCGATCCACTTGAGGTAAGGTGGGTTGCCCTGCTCAATAGGCAGACTGATGACCTCGGCCACCTCATAGGGATGGTTGGAGCTGGAGAGAAAAACAACCATTTCATTCACAGTCAACACATTGCACGATGCAGAACAACACCAGTACTTAAGGTTGTACTCTTTGACTGCATAAACGATGGCAACTAATGGACCAGATAGAAGACATAATTATCCTGTTAGATTTGACTGCAGCCAACGGTCAACATTTGACAAAAAATAAAAACCCACCGGACATATTCAGCAAGAGCAGGCACTTTGGAACTTCTTGTTTTGATCATCTAAATAGGAACAACATAACGTCATACAGATTTTATAGAAACATGCTCTATATCAGATTGTGGACACAAATGCCAATGGTGTCCAAGCATGTTACGTATGCATGTCATGAGCTAATGTTCAATAAAGTTTGCCCAGCTGTTTTTTGTTGAGCAGAATATATTAGCAAATTGTGCTGTAAGAATTTTTTTTTAAATCAGTGACAGTACATGAATTAAATATATACAGTATAAATATATTAGACATATTAAAATTAGGGTTTTATCTCACTTCTGAACACATTAGACTGATTAAGATGACTTTGAAACCATGGGAGCAACCCCATCCATTTACTAAACAGCCTCATAAACACCAAAATGTCACATTTTGCTTTAAATGGCTTAAAAATCAATTGCATGTGGAGATCAATTATGAAATAGTTTCCTTCTATAGAAATAATCTGACATACATAACATGCTGTCGTAAGTTATTTACCAAGAAATCAAACCTGACTTATTTTATTTACATTATACAATTGTTTGGAGAAAGAAAGAAATGGATGTACTTAACGTGCTGCGGTTTCAATTCCAGTGTGAATTTTAAGATGTCTGAGTCAGCGCTCACCAGAAGTACTTCGTTATCCTCTTCTATCTTTCCCTGCCATTCATATCTAGAAAAAGATATAAAGGACAAGGCCAGGATAATTTTTTTAATCATCAGGGAGCAAAATATGATTGAAAAACTTCTCCTTTATAGAAAACTGAAAGACAAAGAGGTGAAAACTTACATCGATTTAATCGCTGGGACAATGTTCACACAAGCAGCCAGTTTCTTTTCCACAATGCCCCTGGGAAATAATCAAAAACAATAAGCAACTGTATTCATTAAAGGGTAAATATTTAATATTGCATACAAATATACACGTGGACAAAAAAAAAACATACTGTCAACTAAGCGACTAAAAGAGTTTAAGCTTCTTAATCCATAAATATATACTATCTTAAACTATTGAGGACAGTTTCATGAGTTACTGAATCAAACGAGCCTTTTCTCCAGTCATTTAGAGCATGGGCTCACTTAGCCAAGTCTTTAGCTACAGTGTCATTTGGACAGGTGACGAAGGCAGCAGAGTGTGTTCCCGACAGGTACGTCTCGGATGCCATGGAGAAAGCTCGCAGTCCAACAGTCCTCAGCAGCTGGAACATAAACACACTCAGGAGCGACGTCTGAAACACACAAACACACGCACAGCCAGATTGATACTTCAGGTTATTGTCCTGCAGCATGAGTCAAGTGGGTTTGAGAGTGAAGGTCACAAACTGCAGGTTAGACGTTCTTCTTCTGGACCTTCTGGTAAGGAAGGTTTCGTTATGTAGAGAAAGTACAAGATAACTGATGCTTCAGTGTGAAGTGATATTTTCACCGCTTTAGATGTTGTTCGGTCACTTCCTGGATGAGGTTTTGATGCAATTCTGGTCAGCTAGTTACTCCTGGAAAGACTTCATGTTGGATAATTGTGTGGACATGGCTCTTGCTGTGACTTGCTCCAGTCCCTTTGGGTGGCTTTGAAACCTTTTCCAGACTGATAGACATCAGTAAGTTTGTTTCTAGCCTACTCTTGAATTTCTTTAGCCTGAGCTGTTAGTATTTGAGCTCTTTCGCCTACTTCATGCTTTCAGAAAAATTCTAAGTTATTTCTAAGGGTGCACAAAAAAAAAAAAAAAAAAAAAAAAAAATCGGGGCAGATTTTTTATTTATTTATTCATTTTTGGGGGGGAGGATATTGGTCAATCCCTACATCAAAAAAACAATTTTAAAGTATTATAAGTAACAGTAAATTTAGTGACTTTGTGAAACAATTCTGTATTAACCAAAATAGATATCAACAAATCAGATCTTTTTAAAGATCGGTGCAATTTCTTAATCCTAGAGGTCGAATTCCTCACCTAACAATGGAGGGGGGTCACCCTTTCATATGAGACTGTTTTGGTTTGAAATGAAACCCAATATATGAAATCACCATTTAAAAACTGTTTCAGTATTCACACAGACCATCTTTGTCTAACATTAAAATCAGCTTGAGGATGCAAACTATTTCGATGCGTTGTGTGTACCTTGTATGTGCTTTGACCTGTGCATCTGGGCTCTATTTGTTTGTTCTAAACTTTGAAAATGTAAAATAAAATAAAAAATAAACAACAACAACTGAATAACACGGAGAGCAAATGCATGACCTAATTGATGTATGCATTCATTAAAAGCTAAAAGGTCAAAATGAATCCATCCTCACCAGAATCACAGCTTTTAAGGATCCTCTCTCGATCGTCTCTGCTCCAATGCGCATCCCCTGCGGGCCTGTTGGCAGCTTTCACACGTTTCACAGCGGTTAGCACGACATGCTGATGAGGCCGAAACGAAGAATCATGCATCGAGCGCTGCGTGTTTACCCAAGATGAGCGGGGAAGGATTCAAATGTGATGAACAACAACAACGAGGCAAAGACAAACTAGAGAACACCGCAGAAAACGAAGCACGTTTTGAATATATTGTTTTTCTGCGTTTCTTGAGCAACTTTACCTTTTACTTTTACAGCGCCAACGCTCTTCAACTTTTGTTGCGTCCGCAAATTGTGACAGTCTTGTTATTCTTTTTCTTCTTCTCTCCTTCCGCTTCTAATTCTTCTTCTTTTTGTTTTATGGCGGTTGGTAAACAACCTATCGGCGCATTACCGCCCCCTTCCAGACTGGAGTATGAACCACATGTAAAACCACTTTAATCTTCCCTTAACACCTGACCGTCCAAGAAAACTAAAAATGCTGTTAAAAACTACATCCTCAGACGACTTTTGCAGCAGATTTCTAATATCTATATTATTTTTGTTCCTATTTAATTCTCTGATTAAAACCTCTCTTTTCTAAAGAGAGGTTTTAATATATTTAAAAGAGAGATTGTAATATATTTATTACAATCTAGAAAAACATGCTGTATTGTTTCAAGCTCTCCACCATATGTACACATACCTGTACTATGTTTGTTCATTATTTTCAGAGTACTATTTAACCCCAAATGCCCAAATTTTAATCTGGATATAAAGTCCTCTTCTGTTTTATCCCTATTACCTTTCCTACATTCCCCAACTTTTTTTGAATGCTATAATAAAATCTTGCACTTTCTTCTCTATCCCATTGTTCCTGCCATTTCTTTATAATATACATTTTATTTAGACTTTTGACCTTATTTTTGCTCATTATCCCTTTTTGCTGCATTTTTAGCAAATTTATCCGCCAACTCATTTTCTACTATTCCGATATGAGCAGGAATCCAAACTAATTTCATCCGGGATCCGTATTTTTTAATTTCTTAAAAAGACATGCTGTGGCCAGAATGATGTAAAATAACTGACATGCAGATTACACATCAATGCAGAGTAATGATTTACAAACATGCATGTTTACATCTTTATTTATACTCTATGAATATGCATAGTGTGACTTTTTGCACTGGAGTTGCAATAGAAATTTCGTTGAATCCTGTTCAATGACAATAAAAATGCTATTCTATTCTATGTGGTTCTCCAACTCAGGACTTCTGGGTCAGTTGGAGAAAGTTGCACCCAAAGAAGTATTCCAAAAAAATTACAAGAGAAAAAAAACACTTTCAGCAAACTGCCAGAAGATGGCAGCTTTTACTCAAAATACAAGATTTCTATCTATCTATCTTTTTTTTTTTTTTTGATAATCATGACATGCTTTACGGTAGCCAGCTGATATCAGTTATGTTCCTATTGATAAGGTGAACAGGTGTTCCACAACGTCACGCATCCAAAACAGTTCATCTGTAGTTGTGGGTTTCTGGACGGCGCCTGCTCCAGAAAGCGACAGCCTTGGCGAATTCGCCCACGCTGCCCTGTCTTTTGCTTCATCCTTGATCAAAGAAGAAGACAAGGGCTGCACCTACACTGGTGTTTGCACACACACACATGCACACACACACACGTACACACAGTCACATATGCACAAACATTTCATATGAGCACTTGGAAGGAAACGGGCCTGAGCTGCAGCTGATGTAAGAAGTGAACCAGGAACTGCTGGACACACATGAAGACATTAGATGAAGCTCGTCAGGGTTTTGCAACGAGGAGCGTTGGTGGTGGTGTTGAAGATGGTGGGTGGGTGGGGTAGATTTGTTCCCATGGAAACTGTGCAGTCAGCACATCTGCACGGGTTATGCGCTGTCCGTTCACATTGGAATCTGGCGGCCTCTCGCCACCTCAACCGGACGTGACAGCATGCTCTCACATGCAAAGAAGAAAGAAAATGGAAAAAAGAATAACAATGATAGAAGAGCAAACACAAACTGCCAATCCACGCAGAGAATCCCCTAACTTGGGACTTCGAATCCTGGAGGATGGCTCTTTTGCAAACTGGAAACGCACCTGTATGCATTTATTATAGAAATATAGCAGCGACCCAAACTGGGAGACTCTGTCCCTCCAGCAGTCTCTCTCTTTCTCTCTGTCTCTCTCTTTTTGCTTCTGTCCATCTCCTCCTCTCTTTTGCCCCTTCTGCCTGAAAGCATGAGGAGAATCAATATGTTTTCAATTTGCAGCAGAGCCTTCCTCCTCTGCATTCTAATAAGGCTTTGACTAGCCCTTTAACTTCCGGAGAGAGACGGACGAAGAAACAGAGAGAGAGACGAGGAGTTGGTGAGGCCAGACTTCCACTGAAGGACGTTGACGCTGAGATGTCAACTTTTTCAATTCAACCAGGCATGCCTCGATGAGCATTTCCTTTCGGCTTCGCCACTGGGCCACGCTTTCTCCTGCAATGGAGCAAAAGAAATGTCGCCGCCACAGCAGCACTGCCCACCTTTCGGTTCAGAGTGGAGTTCCTCCTTGCTTTCTGTTTCCTTTAAACGTCCAACAGGTGAAATGTTGATGTTGTCATGTCTGCCACGGTTTTATAGCCGGCCGTATTCTCAATTCATGTGCTTTCTCCAGAATTGAGTCAAGTCATTAGTTTATCATTTTCATTGACTAGATGCGTTTGATGCACCCAAAAAGATTTGGTTATATGGATGCGGTGTTTTTTTGTTTGTTTGTTTTTTTGTTTGCCATTATCGAAATGGATTTATTTTTGGAAACGCTTTTTTTTTTTTTTTTTTTTGCGCCACACGAGTCACATGATCAGCAACAGGATGTTACTACTAGCAGAAAAGATGAAGAAGACAGGAAGTAGCTGCAGCATCATGGTGTGACATGTTTTGAATGATTTATTGTGTGAACTATCTGATTCTCGGGTGATTTTAATTTTGTTTATAATTTATTTATTTTTTGATCATGTTTTCTCCGAAGAGATTTGCGGCGCTAGTGGCTCGTATTTTCGACAGTAGCCAGACAGGAAAGAGGGGAAGACATGCAGCAAAGATCGCCGGGACCGGGAATTGAACCTGCGATGTCCGCGACGAGGACTGAGGCCTCCAAACGCGGGGCGTTCTAACCCCTGCGCCACCACAGCACTCCCCTTTGTTTCAAATTTAACGGGAATGGCAGAATTGCAAATTTGTGGCATTTTTTTTTTTTTTATATCATATTGACTAAGTTTTGCATTCGTAATGGAAAACGTACAAAAGCAGCAACCGTCTCCTTCTTTACGACATAGCACATTGAAACAAGAGGATTTTCTTCTCCTCAATTAGCGTCACATCAATTTATCACAAGATTATTTAGAAATCTTGTACTATATTTGTGTTTTAAAGCTTTGCTGTCAAGTCAAAACAGTGGTCCACACGTTGTTGCTTCAATAACAGTTAAAACCCCCAGAAAATGACATAAAACATCCTGCTTCTCTTAATAACAGTCCAGGGAAATCCTAAATTATATATTTGCCAGGAAGATCAAAACGTTCAAAATAATGTGCCACCAATCATCCACAGGCAGCTGCAGGTTCTGACTCTGAGGTGTGATTGGGATCTGTTCAGCTGAAGGTCAGACAGATGTGTCTGCAAAGCGGAAACAAGGCGAAAGGAAAGCAGAGAAAGGGAAGGAAAGGATATTAGAAAAGACAGCAGAACAAAAACAGAAAGGAAATAAAACAAAAACAAAGAAGTTAAGAAAAAGAAAGAAATACGGATATATATTATTATATATCCAGAGATTTATAATAATATAATATTTACAGAGCTGTAAAATATATATATTTATACTGTTAATAGTACTACCTATCATTGTAACTTTTAAATAGAAAGCTAAAATATGTAAAAAAGTTGAGATTGTGAATTTATTCGACTTGTTCACCAATATGTGAAAGATGCAGCATTTTAATTAAAACAAGAAAATAGAAAATGCAAATAACTGTAGCTGCAAACCTGTGAAAGGGATTTAAAAAAAACTGTGGTTGACTCTCAGCAACAAGATCAGGACTTTGATCACTCTTTTCCTTGAAAACACTCGTATTTATGCAAGTTTATAGGATTAAATAAAAGCTGATTCGGGTAAATCAATGTCACCGTTTGACTCAAACTTATCGGTTAGATGTGATCTTGTTTACGTTTCATGCAGAGAGAAGTCAATGGTGTGGTTATCAACAAACACATACTTTTTGTTGTAACTAACATTTTCCATCATAAGATTTTGATTTAGGGGTTAGAGGTTTTCTAACGTAAAGCAATACGGAAACACTCCTGCATAATAATAAAAAATAAATAATAATTAAAAAAACCCAAAGAGTCCTGATAGAGAATCGTTCCAGTTTTCTGCTTTGTATTGTATAAATCTAACCGAATGCTCTCCGTATCTGACCTACTTAAATTCATTGTGCAGCCTTCCTGCCTTCTTACAGATGCCCTAATTTCGCAACGTGCGCTAAAAAGTAAGTGTATAAATGATTGAACTAGGCACTACCACAGATAATGAGAACAAAGGAAAAATGGGGAAGAAGAGCAATGGGCTTAATTAGAATTTTTTATTTTTTTTTTCCTACCCCAACGCTAAACGGGTCTGATTCTAAACCAGCACAAAGTGCAGGATGCCTTACTGAAAAGTTTGTTTTAAATATTAAGTAAATATTAAATAATAAAAAATGGTTTTATTTGTTTTTACTCCAACAAGAAGTCCTTTACGTCTGCGTTAATGCTAATTAATATAATTTTTTTTTTCCATATTTGTTGTTATGGCACGGTATGAGACAGAAAATCTGTGAGAAAAAAAAAATACCGAGCTCCTCCACCTTCTCCGTGTCCTAATTAGAAACAACCAATCAGAACCAGGAGGCGGGTCTTAGTGCTGTCCATCACCTCCATGTTGCCTAGCCTTCAACTAACAATCCGTTGTTGAATCAGCATGGCCGCAGATGGCAACAGATAAATGGCGACAGATAAATGAATGTCACCATATCGTCATGACATGGTGACAGTTTTTTAAAAATACGGGGGAAAACAAACCCATATTTTTATGAAAGTTACATAATGCACCTTTAACAAGCAGTTTCTGATCAATTCGTGTCAAAATAATAAAACACACTTGTGTCCACTTTGGATTATGAAATAATGTTAATTTGCTCCTTACAGTTCTGCTCCCTCTCTGCAGTATTTATACCAAACTGTTGTCTCTATCTGTCTGGTTTTCACTTTGCTGATGGCAAAACGAAGCTTAGACGAAGGGGCGGGGGGATGCT